GCTGAATTGCGAGATATGAATGCTGAATTGTGAGATATGAGCGCTGAATTGCGAGATATGAATGCTGAATTGTGAGATTTGAGCGCTGAATTGTGAGATATGAATGCTGAATTGCGAGATTTATGAATGCCAAATTGCAAGATATGAATGCAGAATTGCGAGATATGAGAGCTGAGTTACAAGATTTGAGCACTGAATTGCGAGATATAAATGCTGAATTGCACGATTTGAGCACTGAATTGCGAGATATAAATGATGAATTGCACGATTTGAGCGCTGAATTGTGAGATATGAATGCTGAATTTTGAGATTTGAGCACTGAATTGCGAGATATGAGCACTGAATTGCAAAATATGAGCGCTGAATTGCGAAATATCAGTGCTGAATTGCGAGATATGAATGCTGAATTGTGAGATATGAGCGCTGAATTGCGAGATATGAATGCTGAATTGTGAGATATGAGCGCTGAATTGCGAGATATGAATGCTGAATTGTGAGATTTGAGCACGGAATTGCGAGATATGAATGCAGAATTGCGAGATTTATGAATGCCAAATTGCAAGATATGAATGCAGAATTGCGAGATTTATGAATGCCAAATTGCAAGATATGAATGCAGAATTGCGAGATTTATGAATGCCAAATTGCAAGATATGAATGCAGAATTGCGAGATTTATGAATGCCAAATTGCAAGATATGAATGCAGAATTGCGAGATTTATGAATGCCAAATTGCAAGATATGAATGCAGAATTGCGAGATTTATGAATGCCAAATTGCAAGATATGAATGCAGAATTGCGAGATTTATGAATGCCAAATTGCAAGATATGAATGCAGAATTGCGAGATTTATGAATGCCAAATTGCAAGATATGAATGCAGAATTGCGAGATTTATGAATGCCAAATTGCAAGATATGAATGCAGAATTGCGAGATTTATGAATGCCAAATTGCAAGATATGAATGCAGAATTGCGAGATATGAGAGCTGAGTTACAAGATTTGAGCACTGAATTGCGAGATATAAATGCTGAATTGCACGATTTGAGCACTGAATTGCGAGATATAAATGATGAATTGCACGATTTGATCGCTGAATTGCGAGATATGAATGCTGAATTGTGATTTTTGAGCGCTGAATTACGAGATATGAGCACTGAATTGCGAGATATGAGCACTGAATTGCAAAATATGAGCGCTGAATTGCGAAATATCAGTGCTGAATTGCGAGATATGAATGCTGAATTGCGAGATATGAGGGTTGAATTGCGAAATATGAATGCTGAATTGTGAGATTTGAGCACGGAATTGTGAGATATGAATGCTGAATTTTGAGATTTGAGCGCTGAATTGCGAGATATGAATGCTGAATTGCGAGATTTGAGCACTGAATTGCGAGATATGAGCGCTGAATTGCGAGATATAAATGCTGAATTGTGAGATTTGAGCACGGAATTGTGAGATATGAATGCTGAATTTTGAGATTTGAGCGCTGAATTGCGAGATATGAATGCTGAATTGCGAGATTTGAGCACTGAATTGCGAGATATGAGCGCTGAATTGCGAGATATAAATGCTGAATTGCACGATTTGAGCACTGAAATGCGAGATATAAATGCTGAATTGCACGATTTGATCGCTGAATTGCGAGATATGAATGCTGAATTGTGAGATTTGAGCGCTGAATTGTGAGATATGAATGCTGAATTGCGAGATTTGAGCACTGAATTGCGAGATATGAGCACTGAATTGCGAGATATGAGTGCTGAATTGCAGGATATGAGTGCTGAATTACGAGATTTGAGCGCTTAATTGCGAGATATGAATGCTGAATTGTGATTTTTGAGCGCTGAATTACGAGATATGAACGCTGAACTTCGAGATATGAGCACTGAATTGTGAGATATGAGCGCTGAATTGCAAAATATGAGTGCTGAATTGCAAGATATGAATGCAGAATTGCAAAATATGAACGCTGAATTGTGAGATATGAGCGCTGAATTGTGAGACATGAACTGCGCAAGTTCAGTCATTTTATCAATAAAACGTAATATGATTATTCTCTGATGTTTTTAATAAACTGTAATGTGTTTGTTTTCTCAATCAGAAGAGAAGAGCACTCCGGAGCAGAGTGATGCTGATGTTGAGATCGTGTTTGACCGAAAACCCACAGCAGAACAAGCCAAACTGGCAGCCAGACTGATGCTTCCTCACACGTTCTTCTGTTACAGAAACGAGCCGGGATACGCAAGTGATGAGGATGATGATGGTGAGAAATATGAAGGGTCTATTTAGCTGATCTAACCTACAAAAAATACTTCTGTTTTTTTCATTTGTCAGGTTGATATAATCAAATTAAATTACATTTCTGACTTGCATGAAACCAGTCAGTTTAGATGTTACCATGTAAAGCACAGTATTTAGATTACTTGGGAAAAAA